TTCATGTGGTGGGCAGTATGACTATCAGTCACTCAAACTACCAACAGTCATGTGTTCTACCAAACTACCAAACAGGGCATGGTCTACTCTGCCCGTGTTACAAGGTGGCACCTGGCATTAGAATGAAGCCTTTAATACTTTTGTGATCACTAACTGACCAAAAATAACAATGTAGTTCTGGCCTGATGTCCCACATCCCTAGAGTGGAGGCGGGTGAGGAGGTAAATAAACACCGCAGTGCTGAGAGTTAATGCAAGTAAAGAATTAAAAGTTGAGAGAGTGCTTTACTCATGTGTTTCTCTACTTGGAGGATGTTGATTTGAAAAAATAGCCTGTTGGTTGCACAATTTGCACCAACAAGGCAGGAGGGTCTAGTTGTTAATTAACTCTCTCACTGACCGACCACCAGTGTGATCTTGTGACCTGTTCTGTTTCACATTTCTGCACCTTCTCAGCTGCTGCCAGCAGGGAGTCGAAATTGAAGGGTGCCGGTGTGTATGACAAGCCTTTGTGATTACTTGCTAGGAGGAGAAGTGCAGGGTGCAAGGTGGTGTGCACAGGTGAACCCCAAACAAGATGCCTAAGTCTGACAGTTGTTCTTCTGAGAGCCACTATTGAGAGAAGGGGAGCCTGGAGACCAACCATATGATCATCCAAGCGACACTTGACCATCCATATTGGGGGTCAACACCTACTGGCGAGTGGGAAATTCGTATATTACTCACAAGTGGTGGAGAAGACCTATCTGGATCAATGTAACACCCTTTTTTAAGACTCTCTTCCATTCACTATTCTGGATCTATGCGACACCCCTTTATAGGATTTTCACTAATCTAATGTGGTGTTGGGAAAAGCACTTTGATACACATATTGGTTTCTTATGTTTTTCGATTTATATGTTTAATGTTGGAGTCATATTGAGCAAGTTTCTGTCTATTCATGGTTTTGCAATTTATAGTGATATTTCACTTAATAGAGGCAGCTGCCACTACTGCCTTTGGCGGCTTTTGTAGATTGGTCACTAACACAAGGTTTTTAATACGCACAATGATAATGGATTTTTGATTTATACATAATTTATAAGCCATCCTCTTCATTTGCACCATCTTTCTCCTTGGGAGTATCACAAAGTTGGGACATTTCCCCCGGGATGTAGGGGGAAATGAAGTCCACAGAGCTCCTGGGCTCATAAATAAATAAATATATATACTGTATATTTACACATACATACTGTATCTATATCTGTATATACAGAATACTAATATATCGCTGCAGTTGTGACAACCTCATCAGCCGTTTGCTTAGTCCTGGTCCCAGTGGAAAATAGGGACTGGCCTTTTACTTACACCAGACTATATTGGGAACAGAGCCATCTAGTGGCCAGCCATCTAACTGCACCTGTCAACAGCCTAGACAGTGAAAACAGCGAATCCACTGATTCAGTTTGACAACAACCTAAGTTGTTCAGGTAGAATCAGCTACTGAAATCGTCTTGCTTCCTTTTGCAGGTTTCCTAGATCTGGTAGAGTGAAAGAAGTTAGATGTATAAATGTCAGTGGCAATAATTACCCATTCTCTATATGTTAAAGGGTAGCAATAAGATTTTGAGTCTCCTGAACTTGAAGCAAATTTTGCCTTGAACTGGCAAACATCAGCAAATTGTTGGCTGGGTGACCAGTTCACAAATCTTGTTTTTTTTTTTACTACAAGTGGTCCCAGTTTCATCACATTAGCACTGACTGAAGTAGGATGATCGCAGGAGGAAGAGTGCTTCTCCAAGACGAGTGCTACTTGGCTACTTCTATCCTTGTCCCTTCTACCTATGCAAATATAGTTCTGCCCTTTGATGTCCTCTCTTGTGCTCATTGTAACTCTTTCTAGTTTCTAGTTGCCACAAAGCAGATAATGGTTTCAGCTGAGTTAGAGACACCTAGTGACAGAGCTGTGTTTTTGGATAAAGAACCAGGGACAGGGCAGCACTGATCACAGGTACGTTGTGGTAGAGTAATACCCACTTTATTATTGTGACATAAGTAGGCTTCCTTTTGTAACAAGGCAATGCTGCCAGTGGCTACAGCAATGACAGGGGAGTCCTGCTCTCCTGTAACTGCCCATTGTGCTGTCGACATTCCCAAGTGTCCACCATACACATTGTATGCAGTACTGCTGGGTGCCCGAATTTTATAATGTTATATTTTATGAAGAATACCTTACAGATCCCCACTAACAGTGGCCCCAAGTAGCAGTTGTTTATTAATTAAAATCATGACATCACTGGGGCAAAACTAGGATTATTTCACCCCAGAGGAAGGCACAGTGGGCATTCTCAGAAAGAATGCAAGAGCATGTAGATCAGCTTGAAATATTTTCAATTAATAATATCACCCCAATAATAAATTATATAACCTCATTGTTAAAAAACATACTATGGATAAACCTGCTCCCCTAGTTCCTTATTCAAAAAACATTGGTGCAGTTTCAACAGCCAATTCAATCCTAAACATTTTTAAGCTTTGGTTAAAAAAATGTGAAGACTTTTACAGTTTTCCATCTCTGTATGAGGTCTCATGTAGAGGTGTTACTGTAATTACTGTTACCAAGACAGGAAGTGATGTGAAATGTCCCCAGTGGAGATATAGACAGCAACTGAAGTACTCTTTTTTTAGTAAGAATTAGAACCTCTGACTGCTTTTTATTGGTGTCTGCGCCTTTTGGCCCAGTAACACCTGTGCTCCTCATTACTTTCCCTGGTGTCATAATGATAAAAAGTGAGGGTAAAGCCCCCAGTGGGGTCACAGAAAGCAATAAAAACCTGTAATTGCCGTATATTATAGGAGCTTCATGTCTCATCCAATTCCTGCCCCCCCCCCCCAAAAAAAGGAGAAAAATCTACATACAGTATGTAATACAAATAATCAGAACTATATATTCAAAAATGCTTTATTTTGCTAACAACCCAAAAAAACCCCATTATATTAAAGGAAATGAAAAAGCAGAATGATCTGTTAGGCCGTATGTTCCTGGATTTGCAGAATACCCACCTAATACAGTGGTGCAGACAACAAAAAATAATAATGAATAAATAGCAGAGATAGTTTCTGTCACATACCTAACTGTGGAGACTGAAATGGCAAGGGTGGGTTCTTGCAGTGGAAGGCAGTGAGTGGGGGTGGGGAGGGGCTGATCTGCATGCTCAAGGGACTCTGACCAATTCCCAAGCAGGAGGCTTGGCATGGGGTCAGAGCGGTCCTTAAGCATGAGAGAGCCTGATCAGCAGGTTAGTGGTGTGTCAGGTGGAAGATGGAGTGAAGGCTGGAGTGTGGAGTCTGGGAGGAGCCCGGGAGAGAGGCCTACCTACAGGCAGGAGCTGAAAGGAGGATCTCTCTACCTCATTGTCCCCAGAGAGTGGACAGCCTGTGTAGCAGGGAAGGAGCCAGCCCAGCATAAGGCCTTAAGGCAGCCACCAACCCACCAAGCTCATAGGAGAAGCAGAGTGAGTAATCCTACACACCCCCTGGGCTGGATAAAGGGGAAAGGGCAATCAGGTGGAAAACCCAACTAGCTTTTCATCTGGGGATGTTTTCCTAAGCTGCAGTTTCTGTGTCCCCTTGCTCAGGGATACCAGGCAGCTGGGTTAAGAGGAGGATTCATCTAAGGTCTGGGGAGGTACACCAGAGAGCTGGAATGCTCTCAGAGGATAGACTAGTTTGTCCATATCTGTACATAGTTGCTAAGGAGTTTGTCCTCATGTTTGCAGTTCCTTTGGGCATTCCATGCACCCCTCAACCTCATCCAAGTTTAAAACCCCTAATAAAATCACAAAACCAAGCTCAAGGACTGTTTACTGACTTTGAATGCGATGTGTGTATCATGATTTACTGGGTGTTTTTGCCTTCCTCTGGATCAACTGTGGGTATAGGATTATAACTTTTTTTTTTTTTTTAAAGGTTGAACTGGATGGACTTTTGTTTTTTTTCAGCCAGACTAACTATGTAACTATGTGTGAAAGACAATGTGTGTTGCCTGGCTGTGCAGAGCTGTAGTTGGATCCAAAACTTTTTATCTCCGGGGGTTGTGCTACACAAGGATAACATCCAAATGAGATTATATTGATCTTGTGAAATTACCTCACACACCACCGTATCTGGATACAATATATAGTTTTTATTGTAACACTTTATATTTGAAACATATGTCCAATGTATTTCAATCAGAAATAAAAATATAACAATTAGATTAAAATATAATTAAAATGTATTAATTTTAATAAGATATTGTGTTGCATATTTTCCAGCTACACATGAAGAAACACTGCCACATTAACGGATTAGTTCTCCTTTTAGACAAAAATAATAAATGCACATTAATATACAATAGTACGGGTAGACTTCTCTCTGTACTATCTGTCAGAGGGAGGGGGAGGTGGCGGGCGGCACCTGTGCTATGGGAACTTTACATGTTCCTAAATTTGAACTTATCCTTTAAGGCATCTCTATAATGTGTGGTTCCTAACTCAAACCTGTCTGTGTTCCTAACTATGGGAATTATATTTAGAAGGCATAAACAGAGAGATGGCTTATGTGGAGGCAGCCCTTTCTTTGTTGAAGTTTAACTCCAGGATGAAAAAAACTGTACCCTTGCAGTGCCCATGCAATATAAGGGTTAACTGCTCATTTTAGCTAGGAGATCAGGTGATATGCTGACCTTATTACTCGCTTATGCAGTTAACCCTTGCTGTGCTTTTTCTATTTTCCAGAGTTCAGTTTTAGAGGTACAGGGCAACATGAGATGCCCAAACCTTGGTCAAAGCAACTGAAAGACCTATGGCGTGTCTCTGCAGCAATACATTTTCAGATGTATGCAACAAAAATGGTGTGAATATATTTTTTGTGCTGAGTAACTGGAGCATGTGCTATGGAAATGTTGTATTTGTTAGTATACATTGCTTACCGACTGTCCTCGATTTGCCTGGATAGTCTGGGGTAGATTTACTAGAACTGGTACACACAGAATCTGGTTCAGCTGTGCATAGTAACCAGGGGCGGACTGACCATTTGGAAACTCGGGCACTGCCCGAGGGCCCGGGGTCAGTAGGGGGCCCCATAAGATGCCCCTGGTACCTTTTTCATAGGCTTTTTTTTGAGTTTGGACAAGGACACAGGGGCCCCATGATCCCCTATTGCCCGGGGGCCCCATGAGTTGTTAGTCCGCCCCTGATAGTAACCAATCAGCTTCTAACTTCAGATTGTTCAGTTAATCTTTGACAATAAGCGCCCGATAGCACCTGAAATCGTATCTAATGAATGTGAATGTCAGTGTCTTAACATGTGCGATTTGCTGCAGCGCGACTTCTAAAGTAGTTCTTGCATAACTTTTTTTGCAGTTTTGTTGCAATTTCACATACATAGAATGTAATGGAAATTGCATTGCAAATTGCAAGAAATTGTTAAGAATCTTCACAAGTAGCAATAAAGTCTTTAGGGATTGCACCTGAAATCAGGCTGAAATTGCACATAAATTGCAGCGGTGTGACCGGTGACTAAAATCTGGAAGCTAATTTGTTACTATGCAGAGCTCTGCATAGTATAGATTCTGTGTGCACCAACTTTAGCAAATCCCCCCTTGAGTCACATAATTAACTCCCCGATTATTAGATTGTGTAACAGGCAGTAAAAGCAATGAAATATCTTTTCTCATTGGAGGAGGAGGAGGGGGCAGGTCCCATTGGGAACATTTTCTATTGAATTTAGCCCCAAGCTAATAACTCCCTGCATGTTAGATGTTCAATGGCCGGAATGGGGCTGCAGTGAAAATTTCTAAAGGATTCAGCTGCCTGCACAACATGGGACATGATTCATTACAGGTAGGTTGAACCTATGAAGCTGTAGGGCAAAAAAATATGATTTTAGCTAAACTTTAGCTTTAAACGATGTTGGTTTTCTGATGTGTTTCTGTAACTTTAAAGTGGAGTTCCACTCACATTGTAAAAAAATAAAAGTCAGTCAGCAGCTACTCACCTGTCCCATGATCCCATGGTGTCCTCCCCGCAGCCCGTTTCACCGGTCATCCTGTGTTCCAGGTGCCGACATCTTCAGTGTGGGCACCCGGCTGTGACAGCTTGCGACTTCCACTTCCACAGCTGGGTGCCCACTGTGCATGTGCGAGTAGCGCTGCACTTCCTGTCACATATCCCAGCACACTACGGGGAGGGAGGGTAGGAAGACAACTTCCACTTCTGATCACCTAGGCTATCGCAGCAGAAGTGGGAGCGGGTACCTGTCAGTTTCGGGTACCAGCTCCCCCCCTGCCTTCCAAAGGTGCCAATCCTTAATGGGAAGCGGGGGACCAATCTTTAAAGCGGAACTTCCCCTTTTGGATGGAACTCCACTTTAAGGAGAAATGGGGCTGCCTTTAGATACTGCCCCACTGCTAAGGAGATGCAGACACTGAATGTTTTGCTGAAATTTACCCAGATAGTTGTAATGAAGGCTGTCAACCAAGAATCAGTCAGGTGAGGGCACAGTTAGACAAACAAATGTTTTTCTATCATGATATTGGCAGAAAAAATGGTTTAATTTAATTCATGTTTATTGATCACGGCGTATGAAACAGTCCATTCCACCTGCATGTTTTTGCAGTTAGCCTGAAAGAAATGGCATTGCACATAATCATCTATTGCTTGAAAGATCAAGGTCAGCCTCACCATCCCAGCTCTGGCTTTGACCTCTGTATTATTATTATACAGGATTTATATAGCGCCAACAGTTTGCTCAGCGCAATATAAAGGGAGACAATACAGGAATGATACAGTTCAATACAAGAGGATTAGGAGGGCCCTGCTCCTTGGAGCTTACAATCTAAGAGATCTGTCCCCTCACAAGTCTTTTAGAAGTGTTTGCTCCCAGTGTTTACTCTATGAAGGGTTTTACCTAATTATGGTTTTGTTCTCAGTTCACCCTCATTATGGGTAATCCACAGCATAAGAGTGTTAGGTGTTTTACCTTTCCCTTCCTAGTCTCCTCTGTCATAGGCTTACAAGGACCTTGGCATCCTCACTGCCTGTGTCTGTCTGGATAAAGGCGCTCTCTATGATGTACCTCAGCCAAGTAAAGGGATTTGCCTAATGGGGCAGCTCATTAAACACCTAGAATTAAAGGATAAGGTCACCTTTACACAAAAAATAATAAATAAATAATACATTCACATATTATTATTATTTGTTAGGAGCCTCTAAAGCATTGCACCAACGATCAGCAGATCGCTAATGCCATGCAGGTCTCCTGCAGACTGTCACTGTATCTGCTTGCTTGTACATCCCGTACGAGCAAGCTGATACTTCTGACAGGAAGAACCGATGAACTACCACAGCGCTCCACAGTGCCATGGTAGTTAATTGAGGACTACAAGCTGACAGTCACTAAGGTTGTCAGGACCTGTAGTTCATTTATTCACAGAGGACTGTAAAAGTGACAGCTGGTACGGGGAAGTTCTCTACGTACTTCTGTCATACAGAGAGGGGAGCAGCAGGCGGCTGCAGGATCAGGAACATGTTACCTAAAACAGGTGGAACATGTAACATATTCCCAAAAGTGAACTTATCCTTTGAGGACATTTCTGCAGCTCTTCTTGACACTTTTCCTGATTTAAGCCCTGCAATCCCATGCTTTCTTTTTTTTTCTTATGATTTTGTCTTCTAGCTTGGAAAATGTCCTGTTTTAGCCTTTTCTGTCAACTGTTTTTCATTCTGTATCTGTTTGAAAGTTTACACCTTCAAGTGTGGTAGCTCGGGGTTTAGCCTAAATTAGTTTATCTCTTTTTTTTGTGGAGGGTGTCCCTCTTTTCAGGAACTCACTAATAAGAGGTTGGAATTTTTATTCTGTTCAATGTAGGCTGTTAGGATCATCCCTGTAACTTGTATAGTACTGGTATTTCTGGCTCAGACATTTTTACATTCATCTGGATCCTTGCAAAGCGTTTTATCTGGAACAGTTGCTGTTTGGCAATTTATCACATTTATTATCATTCAGACCTTGACAGTGTTTTCCCTGTAAATACCAGAAAAATAGTGCAGCTCTGCTATAATGTATCTATTAAAATAACTACATAACTTTGATCCAAAACATCATGTTTTATATATATATATATATATATATATATATATATATATACACACACAGTGAAGGAAATAAGTATTTGATCCCCTGCTGATTTTGAATGTTTGCCCACTCACAAAGAAATGATGATTAGTCTAAAAATCAAATGGTAGGTGTATTGTAACAGTGAAAGACAGAATACCAACAAAAAATTCAAAAGAAATGCATGTCTAACAAATTATGCACTGATTGCATGTTCATGAGGGAAATAAGTATTTGATTCCCTTCACAAAACATGACTTAGTACTTGCTGGCAAATCGGATTAAGGTCTGGAGACTGGCTAGGCCACTCCAGTACCTTAATGTACTTCTCATTGAGCCACTCCTTTGTTGCCTTAGCCGTGTGTTTTGGGTCATTGTCATGCTGGAACACCCACCCACAACCCATTTTCAATGCCCTGGCTGACGGAAGAGGTTCTCACCCAAGATTTGATGGTACATTGCCCGTCCATCGTCCCTTTGATGCGGTGCAGTTGTCCTGTCCCCTTAACAGAAAAACACCCCCAAAGCAGAATGTTTCTACCACCATGTTTGACAGTTGGGATGGTGTTCTTGGGGTCATAGGCAGCATTCCTCCTCCTCCAAACACGGCGAGTTAAGTTGATGCCAAAGAGCTCGATTATGGTCTCATCTGACCACAGCACTTTCAACAATCCTCCTCTGCATCATTCAGATGTTCAATAGCAAACTTCAGATGGGCCTGGACATGTGCTTTCTTGAGCAGAGGGACCTTGCGGGCACTGCAGGATTTCAATCATTGTCGGCATAGTGTGTTACAAATTGTTTTCTTGGTGATTGTGGTCCCAGCTGCCTGGAGATCATTGACAAGATCCTCATGTGTAGTTCTGGGATGATTACTCACTGTTCTCAGGATCATTGACAGTCCACGAGGTGAGATCTTGCATGGTGCACCAGACCTAGTGAGACTGACAGTTGTTTGTGTTTCTTCCATTCGCGAATGATTGCACCAGCTGTTGTCACCTCCTCACCAAGCTGCTTGGCGATAGTTTGGTAGCCCAGTCCAGCCTTGTGTAGGTCTACAATCTTGTCCCTGACATCTTTGGACAGCTCTTTGGTCTTTGCCATGGTGGAGAGCTAGGAATCTGATTGTTTGATTGCTCCTGTGGACAGGTGTCTTTTATACAGGTAACAAAATGAGATTAGCAGCACTCCCTTTAAGAGATTGCTTCTAATCTCAGCTTGTTACCTGTATAAAAGACACTTGGTAGCCATAAATTCTGTTGCATGATAGGGGATCAAATACTTATTTCCCTCATTAACATGCAAATCAGTGCATAATTTGTTAGATATGCATTACTTTTGAATTTTTTGTTTCTATTCTGTCTCTCAGTGTTACAATACACCTACCATTCGATATTTTAGACTGATTATTTCTTTGTGAGTGGGCAAACATTCAAAATCAGCAGGGGATCGAATACTTATTTCATTCACTGTATGTGTGTATATATATATATATATATATATATATATATATAATTAGTTTGTATGTAGATTAGTGATGTGGTTAGCTTTAGGAAGTGAAGTGAGTGGTCAGTATTGAGTTTTCCTTTAATAATTGGTGCGCAGGTGATGGACTCCAAGAAAATGGAATTGGGGCAATCTCCAGAGTAAGAGGTATATAACTAGCATGACATTGCCCAATTCTGAATCCCTGAAGAAGTCATATGATAGTGACAAAACACATTGGGCAGAGCCTGCGTGACATCATTGCTCACACACAGTAATTAGGTAGTGACCGAAGGATATGTAAGATACTGGCTTTTGATGACACTGCTGAATATATGAATATTATTCTTTTACTCTGATGCAGCTGGTTTGAGCCAGTGAAACCATTTGGGCATTACAACCACTTGGTCCACCCACCCATTGGATGCTAATGAGGAACAGCCATGGAAAAATTGATAAATATATATGCTTAAGAAAGTGGCTGCAAACAACACATTTTGCTGAACGAGAAAGTGATTGCTTGAAACCTATTACAGGACTGTGTCCAAAGCTTTATGTCTATGTTGGATGCTGAATCCTTCTGCTATGGGACTATGCTC